TATATATATATATATATATATATATATATATATATATATATATATATATATATATATATATATATATATATATATATATATATATATATATATATATATATATATATAAACAATATCCGGTCCCACTTTATATTAAGTGTCCTTAACTACTATGTTCTTACATAAAAAAAATAAATACAATGTACTTATTGTGTTTATAATGTATTTGAGAACACTTGTGGTGCATTTGAGTTGGGATAGAGGTTGGGTTATGGACAGGTTTGGTGGTGTGGGTAGGTTTAAGGGTGGGTTAAGGTGTAAGGGATGGTCAACAGTGTATTTACAAATGCAGTTACAAAAGTTAATTACAGATGTAATTACATATATGTATTTAATCAAGCATAAGTACACCATAAATACATGTATTTACACAATAAGTACATTGTAACAAATTATTAATTCCTGTGTAGGTACATATTAGTTAAGTCCACTTAATATAAAGTGGGACCCAATATCCTACTTAACTATAATAATTATAATAATAAAAATAATAATTAAAAAAAAAAATAAATAATAATAATAATAATTATTATTATTATTATTATCATCATCATCATCATCATCGTCATCGTTAATATTATCAATAAAGTATGATTTTTTCATTTCTAATAAATAATGCATTTCATTTTAGAATAAATAGCCTCATTATTTATATGATTTATATATTACATTAGATTATGTGTTTGCTTTTGTAATTGATATGTTTTAGAATGGAATATGTAATGTTCAACTTCGCAATAATATTAGTAAAGCAAACATAGGCCTATGTGCCATTTACATATATTTCAGTTTATATAAAAAGCGAGTGCATGCTTTTACCAAAACTAATATTAGATTTTATTTTAAATGCATGTTTGTGTAAAACAATAGAATTTGCACAAAGACGTTATGGGTTTTTCTCTAAAGAAGTACTTACTCCACCCTGTTTAGAGCATCATTATGGGTGTTTTGAGTTATAACTAACGTGGTTCAAGCGATGAATCAGTGACAAAGAAACTATGGGTTTGGGAAACCCTCGTCACTACATTGTTCTTTTCCCAAACGATGCATCGTACTATGATAGTTCAGCCGCAAGTTATGTCATTGTTGACCTCTACCTTCAGAAACAGGGTTGGAAAACACTGGTTTTACAGTTTTTCAAAAAATTTTCATAAAATAAAGATATTTTGAAGATTGTTGGAAGCCAGTAGCCCATGACCTCCATTAACATCCACTTGAGGGTTAGAGTTAATAGTGAGTAATTTATTTATTATTTTTTTGCGTTAACCATCCCCTTAACTTTACATCTTTTTTCTCATCTTTTTATCAGTATGAAGAAAAGGTTTTGAAGAAGATTCGGAGGAAAATCAGAAACAAGCAGTCGGCACAGGAGAGCCGCAAGAAAAAGAAGGAGTATATAGATGGACTGGAGGGCAGGTGATCATATATCATTCATTCATTTTCCTTTGGCTTAGTCCAGTGGTCACGAAACTTGTTCCTGGAGGGTCGGTGTACTGCAGATTTTAGCTCCATCCCTAATCAAACACACCTGAACAAGCTAATCAAGGTCTTACTAGGTATACTCAAAACATTCAGGCAGGTGTGTTGAGGCAAGTTGGAGCTAAACCCTGCAGGGACACCGGCCCTCAGGACCGAGATTGGTGACCCCTGGCTTAGTCCCTTATTTATCAGGAGCGGGCACAGCAGAATGAAACACCTACTGTTACAGCTAGGGCTGCACGACTCTGGGTAAAAAGTGAATCACAATTATAATTATTTTTTTTTTTTTGCTTAAATTCAAGATCACGATTCTTTCTCACGATTCTTTAGATGTAAAATAAAGGTTAATATGAGTAGGCTATTATTATTGTTATTTCTCAAACATATCGTCGCCTTGGAATTATAAGGTTCTATTTGCGTTCTGAATGGTTTAGAGATATTGAGCTTCAACGTTCGTGCAATCCATATAGCATGTGTGCAACACTTGTTCACAAGTCTTAAAATGTAAACAATAAGTTGTCATTTAATAAGAATATGTCAATAACTCAATTTTGACAAAAATGTCAGATAGAACCTTATAAATCTAAAGTGACGATATAGTAAAACAACAATAATAATATTAGGCCTATGTGTAGATCTACTGTTGCTTAAAATGCTAAATGTTGTACAGTCATTATGGTGTACTTGAACAGACTTTCAAGATGTCCTGTTTGTTAATTCACAGTAAAAAGATGACCTCACACAACTATTCATAATTATAAAATTGAATTATAATGTTTGAGACATGTGTTTGTCATTTGTCATTGACAATATTATTAAACCATTTGTTTTCACTGGTAAAATCAGACAATTGTCATTATCAGATTCCTTCTTGCATTATATTCAACATTATATAGGCTAGAGTAGTTATACTGACACAGTAAAACATTTATTTTCATGCACAACACTATGTGTTCGCTATAAAAGAAAAAACTTATAAAATGCTTGTCGTAATCATAACCGTAAAATTCGATATGATCATTTAAATGATGTGCGCACATTTTTATTTTCACTTTCGAGTGCGGCTCATGGCTGCCGTTACTGTGATAAAGAACACACACATGCAGATCATTCTTTCAGCACAGCTCTCAAACGATCGCTCTGTGCAACAAACTGAAAGTTATTTACAACTGTATTACCTGTTATTTACAGCTTGCGCAGGATCTATTTACTAAAGTGGCCATCATTGGCGTGCTGCGTGCACGCACGCACGTTCTCGGTAGCTCACACGTCGTCAGCTCACGTGTGATTTCGCAGCTGCAAATATCATTACATGAAGACAGAAGTCACATTCTTGGGTGAATTATACCTTATAAATACAGTATGTCACACTTTTCACGCCATTTGAAGGTGTCCATGTTCCTGTGAAGACTTGTGCGTCCTCCTTTACTCCTCTCTCCTGACCTTGAAAATATAATTGGCTGAATCGAAGAAAAGATGATTTAGGATCTTGTGTAGGGTCGAATCGAGATCGTGATCTTTTTCCGATTAATTGTGCAGCCCTAGTTACAGCATATGTTTTTCGCAGCAGATGCTCTTCCAGTTGCAACCCAGTACAGGGAAACACCCTACATACACTCATACACTAGGGCGGAGTATGTTTACCAAATTCACCTATAGTGCATGTGTTTGGACTGTGGGGGAAATCGGAGCACCCGGAGAACATGCAAACTCCACATGGAAATGCCAACTGGCCCAGGCGGGACTCGAACCAATGTCCTTCCTGCTGTGAGGTGACAGTGCTAACTACTGAGCCACCTTATTATTACACAATCATAAATAATAAACATATGCATAACACACAAATATTTCTAAATATATCGTAATATTACTGCATTTTCTCTTTAATAACTGCATTTTTTTGGTGACCATTCATACAAAAATGAACTTTTGAACTTGAAATATTGTATACTTTAGTAATGAATGACTCATGTACAACAACAGCATTCACCTCAGATGTGCCGTTTGTGGTAAAAGAAGTAAACATTCTGTCTGTCTGTCTGTCTATCTGTCTGTCTGTCTGTCTGTCTGAATGAACGAATACGACATCAAAGAAAACTTGACTCGCAGCCAAGCTGAAATCGAGGTCAAAAGTCATTAAAAACCTAGACTCAAACTTATCTTCACTTGGGATCAAAGCAATGGAACGTCCTCCGAGAGGCTGGAGAAATTATTTAGAACACACTGCTGCACAAATATCTGCCATGAAATTGGCCTTTAAGGAAGAGCCCGTGGGTTTATCTGTCCAAAGGACAAACTCATTTCACAGCAGGCGCTGAAACCACAGCACAGCACTGCATGTTTTTTACTTTTACAAGACAGATGTGTGAACTTGAAGCTAGAGTGTGATGCTAACAGACACCTTTGTGCATTGCATTGTTTATTGAATGATCTTGCAATGATTTAAACTAATATTAATAACAGCTGCTATAAAGGAATTGTTGAATCATTCCAGTCCCCCAGCTTCAAAATTCAATAAAATGTCATCTTTAAAAAATATTTGCTAAATATTTTAAGCTAAAGAGCCTGTATTATGCATTATAAAAGGTCAAACTTTAATTTTAAGAGTCTCCAACAACAGTCTGATCTGCATGCAAGGTCAAAAACTTTCATTGTCTTATAATATTCATTTACTTTTACCTAATTATCCTAACAACTCCAACTTGTTTAGTGATTCAGTTGTTGCCAAAGCCCTCCTTTGCATAATGCCAATCTGTTGTGATTGGTCCGATGGCCTAGTCTGTTGTGATTGGTCGAGACGGAGAGAAACGCCCACCACAGTTATGAAGTAGTCTGAGCAATTCTGATTCAATTCTACCATTTGTGGCTCTATACACCCACACAATAGATTTAAAATAAACAAACAAACAAGATGTGTTTTAACTGCAGGCTGTCAGCTTTAATTTGAGGGTATTTACATCCAAATCAGGTGAACGCTGTAGGAATTACAACAGTTTGCATACGTGCCTCCCACTTGTTAAGGGTCCAAAAATAATTGGGCAATTGGCTTCTAAGCTGTTCCATGGCCAGGTGTGTGTTATTCCCTTATTATCCTAATTACAATGAGCAGATAAAAGGTCCAGAGTTTATTTCAAGTGTGCTGTTTGCATTTGGAATCCGTTACCGTCAACTCTCAAGATGAGATTCAAAATGCTTCCACTATCAGTCAAGCAGGCCATCATTAGGCTGAAAAAAAAACCAGAACAAACCCATCAGAGGGATAGCAAAAACATTAGGCATGGGAAAAACAAATTTTTGGCACACTCTTAAAAAGAAAGAACGCAGTAGTGAGCTTAGCAACACCAAAAGACCCAGAAGACCATGGAAACAACTGTGGTGGACGACCAAAGAATGAATACAAACAAAGTGAATACAGATGATTCACCACAAGATGTAAACCACTGGAATAACATTCTATGAACAGATAAGACCAAGATAAACTTGGGAAGAGGAGAGTATGGACAAGGAAAGGAACTGCTCATGATCCTAAGTAGCGTGGGCATGTATGGCGGTCAATGGAACTGGTTTTCTTGTGTTTGTATTTGTATTTGTATTGATGATGTGACTGCTGACAAAAGGCAACATTCAGGCAATATTCTCTGCGCATATTAAGCCAAATGCTTCAGAACTCATTGGACAGTGTTTCACAGTGCAAATGGAGAATGACCCAAAGCATAATGCAAAAGTAACCAAAGAGTTTTTGAGGGAAAAGAAGTGGAATGCTAAACAATGGCCAATTCAATCACCTGACCTAAATCCGATTAAGCTTGCATTTCAGTTGCAAAAGACAAAAACTTAAGAGAAAATTTTGTTTGGTTTATGATTATTATTCTGTCCAATTACTTTTGGACCCTTAACAAGTGGGAAGCACATATGCAAACTTATGTAATTCCCACACCGTTCACCTGATGTGTATGTAAGAACCCTCAAATTAAAGCTGACAGTGTGCAGTTCAAGCACGTCTTGTTCGTTTTATTTCAAATCGATTATGTTGGTGTATAAAGCCAAAAATATTACAATTGTGTCAATGTCCAAATATATATGGACCTAACTGTGTGTGTGTGTGTGTGTGTGTGTGTGTGTGTGTGTGTGTGTGTGTGTGTGTGTGTATATGTGAAATATGCCCTGGACTTTTTTTTTTGCCGTGAAATTTGAATCTAAATAAAACCTATAAAAACCTAAACCTATAATAATATTTTTGCACTTGTGTGAAGTGAGTAAATTATAAATCTAGAGTTGAAGCTTGTTTTTCTGCCATTAATGAAAAATACTTGACCAGCAGTTAGAAATATTACTGCTGAATTGTCGTCTAGAATTATTGATGCTCCAGAGTGTTTGTTTGTGTGGACAGACAGAGGGATTGTGTGGTCAGATTTATCACTGTGAGTAATTGGCCAATATACTGTGGTTTAGGATGGCAGCCTGCAGCGCTCACAATCTGGATTTGCAGAGGAAAGTCCTCCAGCTAGAAAAAACCAACACGTAAGTCTCACTTTACAGACATATCAGATATATATATGAAACAGAGATCCTCATCTAGCTCTGATCTTTCATCAATGAACAATAAAAGGATAGTTCACCCAAAACTAAAAAAATCTGTCATCATTTACTCATTATTCACTTCTCACAAACCTGTTTGAGTTTATTTCCTCTGTTGGACACTAAATAGGTTATTTTGAAAAAACTGAGAAAAGCAGAGCCATTGACATCTATAGAAGTTAGTTTTTCATACTGTGGGGTTGTATGAATTCCAATAGAAAATAAAACTCTTAAAGGGTTGGATCCATTTAAAGGTGAGCTATTGAATAGCAAGTAAATTGGAGCTATGAGTAAACTATGCCTTTAAGTGACCCAACACATTACTGAACTTGCAATATTGTATGAAAGGAAACTAAAACGTCTCCATGCTCTCAAAAATGGAAAGTTGTTGTAACCCAACGTTGGGTCAAACATGGGCAAACCAAACAAAAGCATTTATATTGCTATCTACGTAATTTGACCCGCTTCTTCATTTACATTCATGTATTTTGCAGATGCAGTGGACAATTTTCTAATTCCTAATATCATAACTTTCTATTAACTGATGATGAGCTATACTGAAATACCATTAATGAAAATATTGAATTCTAAAAGAGAACAGTTACCCAAAGAATTATTAATTAATCATAATTCTATATGAAAAAAAGTTAAAATATACAGTATGTAATCAGTAATAGAATTTTGAAAAAAACCTGACAAAAATCATATGAATCAATTAATTACTCAATCAACCAACCAACCAACCAACCAACCAACCAACCAACCAACCAACCAACCAGCCAACCAATTATCAATCAATCAACCATTCATCCAAGCACCCAACGAACTAACTAACCAACCAATTAACTAATCAACTATGCATCATCATCATCATCATCATCATCATCATCATCATCATCATCATCATCATCAATCAATCAATCAATCAATCAATCAATCAATCAATCAATCAATCAATCAATCAATCAATCAATCAATCAATCAATCAATCAATCAATCAATCAATCATCCGCCTTTCCCACCAGTCAACTAAACAACCCATTAATCAACCAACCAACTAATCAATCAACCAAGCACCCAACCAACCAACCAAACAATCAACCATCCATCAATCCATCCATCCATTCATCCATTCATCCAACTAAGCAACCAACCAAGCAACCAATCAATTAATCAATCAATCGATCAATCAACCATCCATCTATCCAACTAACCAACCAACCAACCAACCAACCAACCAACCAACCAACCAACCAAACAACCAACCAACCAACCAACCAATTAATCAATCAAACTGTTAACTAATTAACCAACCGACAAATTAATCAATTAACTAATCAATTAACCAACCAACCAATTAATCAACCATCCAACCAACCAAACAGTTTACCAATCCATTTATTCATCCATCCATCCATCCATCCATCCATCCATCCATCCATCCATCCATCCATCCATCCATCCATCCATCCATCCAAGCAAGCAATCAATCAAGCAACCATCTATCCAAGCAACCAACCAACCAAGCAATTAATCAATCAAACTGTTAACTAATTAACCAACCGACAAATTAATCAATTAACTAATCAATTAACCAACCAACCAATTAATCAACCATCCAACCAACCAAACAGTTTACCAATCCATTTATTCATCCATCCATCCATCCATCCAAGCAAGCAAGCAATCAAGCAACCATCTATCCAAGCAACCAACCAACCAAGCAATTAATTAATCAATCAACCATCCATCCAAGCAAGCAAGCAACCAACCAAGCAATCAGTCAAACATCCATCCAAGCAACCAACCAACCAATCGATTAACTATCAATCAATCAATCAATCAATCAATCAATCAATCAATAAATCAATCAATCAATCAATCAATCAATCAATCAATCAATCAATCAATCAATCAATCAATCAATCAATCAATCAATCAATCAATTAACAAACTAATTAATTAATCAATCAATCAATCAATTAATCAAGCCATCCAACCAAGCAACCAACCAATAATCAATCTACCATTCATCCAACAAACCAACCAACCAACTAAACAATTAATCAATCAATCAAACAACCAACTAATTGACCAACCAACCAATTAATCAACCATACATCCAACCAACCAACCGTCCTGTTTTCACTTTCTATCTGTAATCATAAAGTGACCCAGCATTTAAATCCAGTTATCAAATATATAGGTTTTACAACCTGCACATAAAAATGTCTCTATAATAAAAATGGGCTATAAAACTGATGCTCTTGAAACCATCTTCCGTAATGAGGTTCATTTACATTACTGCTCTTCTTTTTTTATTGCTTGTTTTATAGGCTGTTTAAAATGGCTATTACATTTAAAGGAGTGAAAGTCTAGTAAAAGTGGACATACACGAGCCATTAACTTTAATAGGCTGCGCATTATGTATTATACTACAGTTAAAGAGACTTGTTTAGCAATATAAGAAAACAAGTTTTCACGTGCATTCAAGAGATCAGAATGTGTGTCAGAATGAAAAGCATGCATAGACATGGTAATAAAACTAAAACCGATCAATCATAATTTATTCAGAGGATTCTTGATTGTTTAAACCGATTACGGTTGGCTTCGGTTTGGCATCATTTTACTAAGAAATCAACTGATATATATGACTAAAAGTTGATTCAACAAAAATAAAATTATTATATAAAACATATATTTGCAACTGCAACACTCACAAGACTGCACATTGAAGCTCAGCAGGGCCACCAATAAAAAAAAATTACCCCAATATCATGTTTCATTTCATTTTATATCAATAATTGTTGAATATTTTTAAACAATACAGAAAGTAATATTAAGCTTTTTAACCACTTTATTTTAATTTACCAACATTACTAAGTCAAATAGTTTTACTAGTGAAAAACAAAAATATTTAAACAAAATATCTGATCTTTTTATAATAAAATAAACATAAATGTTAAAGAAACTCTTCATTAATAAGCTGCCTAAATACTGAACAATCAAAACCAAAACTTTAAGGTGTGAATAATAATGATACAGTAAACCTCAAACTCAAAATATGATAATTAAATCTGAGCTTTCGAGTAAAGGAACCAGCCATCATTATTCAAATACATACTGCAACATTACAAATTGTGAAGCTGAATGACTAAATCACCCCTTCGCCAAAAAAATCTTTCAGATAGGAGCTAATGGCTGGGATGCACAGGAAAAGAAACCAAAAAGCCACTTTGGCGACAACCCTACGTCTTTTCTTATTTACAATTTGTTGCTCTATGGCACTTATTTTCACATGTATTGTGAAACCATTTACCATTTACCATTTACAATGGATACTGTGTTTGTAATTAGTAGGTAATTATTCATTCAATTATTCATTTTCTTGTCAGCTTAGTCCCTTTATTAATCCGGGGTCACAACAGCGAAAGAACCGCCAACTTAACCAGCACATTTTTACACAGCGAATGTCCTTCAAGCCGCATCCCATCTCTGGGAAACATCCACACACACATTCACACAAACACTCATACACTACGGATTATTTAGCTTACCCAATTCACCTGTACCGCATGTCTTTGGACTGTGGGGGAAACCAGAGCACCCGGAGGAAACCCACGCGAACGCAGGGAGAACATGCAAACTGGATCGAACCAGCGACCCAGCGACCTTCTTGCTGTGAGGCGACAGCACTACCTACTGTGCCACTGCGTCGCTAGTAGGTAATTAGTCTGTCGTTATTACTAAAATGTGTATATTCCACACAAAGTTACAAAGTGTGAAGCAGATTGGTTCTACCTACATGAATCATGATGCGCTCGCAGGATTCTGAAAATGTGCAAGTCACGTATGCACAGCTTGCACAACATATGTGCGTCATGCAAACCTAAGCTCTTATTGGCAAGGCGTATGTTCAGCAGCCACATTTTAATAAAACTATAGCGTTTCTGTCACACTCAAATAAATGTTCTGATGAATCCAATTGCGAGTGAACAAAAAGTATGTATTTGACACAGGCAAACTCAAAACAAGTGCAAGGAATGAGTGCGGTGCTAGGGCTAGGAGAACAGGGCAGGTATCAGGCAGGATAACAGGTACTTGTAGAAAACTCCTCACGGTCCTGAGCACAGACAGACAGCACACATAAGCACACGTAACGAACTGACAAGGACACACAGAAAACGTCGCCCATATATAGGCACGAATATGAGCCTCAGCTGGCGGACTCATCAAGCTAGCTGAGTGCCGTCATCACACGTGATCAAAACAGATACACATGGAGAACAAAAACAAAACAAACCCACATGATCAAACAGACACTCCGGAAGAGCGCACAAACCTGCAACCGTGACAGTTTCATACCGAAACGTCAAACCGAATTTTTTTTTTTTTTAATTGATATTGACAATGGTGTTCGGTCAATAAATATGGATACTAATTTTATCACCCAATTCTATGTCGAGTCATCCAGGAGGCTGCACACTGGTGGTGGATGAGGAAATTCCCCCCTCCAAAAATGTGTAAAGCGATTTGAATTTCCAGAAAAGTGTTTTATAAATCTATATATGAATGTAAAAAAAATTATTACTTTTTATTATTATTATTTTATTTTACTAGTTATTTTACAATATAGTATTCAGCTTAAAGTGACATTTAAAGGCTTAACTAACTAGGTGATTTGGGCAAGTCATTGGACAACAATGTTTTGTTTCATAGCCAATTCATAGAAAATCCTTTTCCATCGTCTTAGTCCCTTATTTATCAGGGGTCACCACAGCGGAATGAACCGCCAACTTATACAGCACGTTTTTACGCTGCGGATGCCCTTCCAGCCGCAACCCATCTCTGGGAAACATTCACACACTTATTCACATACACATACTCATACACTACGGACAATTTAGCCTACCCAATTCACCAGTACCGCATGTCTTTGGACTGTGGGGGAAACAGGAGCGCCCGGAGGAAACTCATGCAAACGCAGGGAGAACATGCAAACTCCACACAGAAACGCAAACTGAGTCCATGCTCGAACCAGCAACCCAGCGACCTTCTTGCTGTGAGGTGACAGCACTACCTACTGCGCCACTGTCGTCTAAACCGCCAACATATGTTTTACGCAGCGGATGCCCTTCCAGTTGCAACTCATCACAAGGAAAGACCCATACACACTCAATCACACACACACATTATGGAAAATTTAGCTTACTCAATTCACCTATAATGTGTTTGGACTATTTGGGAAACTGGAGCACCCAGAGGAAATCCACGCCAACACGGGGAGAACATGCAAACTTTACATAGAAATGCCAACTGGCCCAGCTGGGACTCGAAAAAGTGACCTTTCTACTGTGAGGCGACACCGAGCCACTGTGCCACCCCGAGGCCAATGATATTGACCGTAAAAAATATATTATAAATATAAAAAACTGCTTTCATTCCAGCCAAACCCAAAAGAAATAAGACTTTCTCCAAACTAAATATATAATGCGAAATACTGTGAAAGTTTCCTTGCTCTGTTAAACAGCACTTGGGAAATATTTGAAAAATAAATGAAATTGTCACATCGCCTTCAACTATAAATATATATGTATAAATATATAAATATATATATATATATATATATATATATATATATATATATATATATATATATGATTATATGTGAGTTGCTGAACTTTCTAGTTTGATAGAGTCAAGAATAAATCTTATTTTAAACATCTTGACATTTTCAAAATGTGGCAGTGCTGAGAAACACTCTCTCGCTCGCTGAATATTCATTTTAATGCACGCCTGTGTACTTCAGATTGCTAAAGTTCAGCTCAAATGGAAGTTTAATTTCTGCTTATGTGTGTGTGTATGTGTGTGTCAGGTCTCTGATGGAGCAGCTGAGGCGACTGCAGGCTCTGTTGATGAGCGGCTCCGGTAAACCTGCACAGACTGGGACCTGCATACTGGTAAGATGACAGTCGAAATGAGTAGGAGAAATAAGAAAATACATTTGAGTTCATTACTCAGGGCCCTATTATACACCCAGCGCAATGTGGAGCAAGGCACAACGCAATTGCTGTTTGCTAGTTTCAGCTTGGTGCAAGAGTCATTTCGACATTTTGCGCCACTCTGCTTAAATAGCAAATGCATTTGCGCTCATATGTGCACCAATAGGCATTCTGATCTAGAAAAGGAGGCTTGTTGAGGTGTATTGCTGAAACGTTGCTATTTTAAGACACTATAATAGTCTGTTCTGTAGACCAGAACAAAGTCAGTCTAAAGTCCAGCGCAGAGTGTGTTAGCTGTGTGCCTCGCTTACACACTGCTTAATATAGACAAGATGTAGAGCACAACGCAAATATCTTTACATATGAAAAAGAATTCAAATATTAAGGATATATATATAGGATATAATAAGGATATATATATAGGATATAATAAGGATATATATAGGATATAAATATAATGGATTAAAATATTACAAAATATATTATTTTCTAGCCTAAATAAATACAAAAACCATACTTTTTATGCCTTCTTCATCTCGGGGGGCTTTTTCAGTTCATTCAAAACAATTTGCTGTTGTATAATTTTATTATTATTAGCAGTATTATTTATTATATTCATATTTATAATTGTTTTATTAAAAGCAAGCTTAGATTTGCCCACCTGTCAGGTTTTAGACCATATGGGGCACAGCATGTGTATTTGGATGTAACTTTTGAACACACTTCGTTATTATTGTTCATTTATTTGTTTGCTGGAAATAAGAACTGAATTTTGTAATAGTCTTGAAACCTTTGAAAAAAAAAAAGTCTTGAAACAAATCTTTGCGCTTAACAAACAAAATTAGTTGTTTATAGGCTAATTGATGTCTGTGCCTACAAGGTTTCCCTATTCACGAGAGTCAAAGTGAAAGTAGATGCTCTGTTTAACTGTTTTCTTGCTAGTGAAGCACTCAGTTTTTCCACTTACAATGTCCGTCATGTAAATGGAAAATGCACTATGGTGCAACGCAACTGACTCTTGGTTTATTCTCAAAACACATCGACAACTCATTCAGAAAATAAGCTCAACCCTTTTAGACCATGCGCCACGGCGCAAAGAGGATTTTTCCGTCCATATATTAGCAAATGTGCATTCTGACATGCCCCTAATGCGTTTGTACACTGCACTTTGCGCATATACCGAATCCAGTACCTCTGAAATCTGATCCAGCACCTCATTTTAACGATCCCTCTCCTCAACTGCCCTCTTCCCCTATCCGCTGTTCAATTTCACTTTCTTCCGTGATTTCCCAATAGAGATCTGTGTGGGACTAAATTTTGAATCCCTACCCTGCTAAAAATTCCAGCTTAAACCAGCCTAAGTGGTTGGCTGGTTTAAGCTTGATTTTTTTAGCAGGGTAAATTTTGAATCCCACGCTGTCCCATTCAAAAAAAATATTTATTTATTTATCAACTAGAGTAATTATTTAATCTAATTAAGTGTTCACACGGAAATGAAAGAAGTAAGAAAGTGAGCCGGAAGCTTTGAAGAAATCCGCTTCAGGCGTTTTTATACGTAAAGCACAATCAGAGTGAAGCTTCAAAGTGGACAGGTAGAAAAGAAAAGAGGAGAAAGTTAATGTTCAGTGACATGGAAAAGAGCTAAGAGACAGATTTCTGGAGTGTCGTCAGCGCTGATTAATTAAGCTGCTCTTCTTCTTTATTACGGCTGATTACATCATTGACTGATGGAGAGGACTGTCAGAAATGATGCTCAGACACCAGAATCTGCCATCTCAAGTCAGAGATGGCTTTTGAGTTCACAATTATTATTATTTTTCTTACAGATTTAATGATACATGCATAAAATAACTGGACATCACCTGCTTTAGTAATATTTCTAATTTAGTGACACTAAATGAATTGACTAAACTGGAATAAGTGTCCAGTTTTGTAACATTGCAGATACAAATTAGAACATTAGATTTTATTTTTGTAGATATTTTTTGCAATATTATTTAAGAAACATGAAATCATTTCTTTTGCATCTTTATATTAATTTATAATACACTAAAAAATAAAGTTTGCTGCTTGTTCAAACTTCTTAAATGAGCTGAAACAACATGAATCTTGAGTTGTTTATGGACAACTTAATTGTTTTTTGTTTAATCCACTTTATTTTGTAAAATCTATAATGTTAACTTAACTCATTCATGTATAGTCCCAACACAAATCAATTGTGTGGAGCTAAAAACTTTTACTCATTTTAGGCTTGCCACAATAGACGGTGTTGACGGTGTTGACGGTATTGACGGTGTTACCGGTTTTAAGACCAAACACTAGTGACATCGCTTTTCCGCCATGACACCTTCCCGACATTTTTTTAAGTATTATTTTTTTAAATTAAATATTTACTTTAATCAAATGGAAAATATAATTCTAAACAATGTACTCAAGACAAGAGCATGCATTATAATTAAAATCTGAACATAGCTACAATGCGTCTTGATAGAGTTAGCCGGGCTCCCAGCTAACACTATCAAGCCTCTTCAGCTGCTCCAGATCGCAGCAGCAAGAGTGGTCTTCAATGAACCTAAAAGAGCACATGTCACTCCGCTGCTAGTCCGTTTGCACTGGCTGCCAGTTGCTGCTCGCATCAAATTCAAAGCTCTGATGTTTGCCTACAAAGTGACTTCTGGCAATGCTCCTTCTTATCTGCTCTCACTTCTGCAGATCTATGTGCCCTCCAGAAACTTGCGTTCTGTGAATGAACGTCGCCTCGTGGTTCCATCCCAAAGAGGGAAGAAATCACTTTCCTGAACGCTCACGCTCAATCTGCCCAGTTGGTGGAATGAACTCCCTAACTGCATCAGAACGGCAGAGTCACTTGCTGTTTTCAAGAAACGACTAAAAACTCAACTCTTTAGTCTCCACTTCACTTCCTAATCTGCAATTGCCTCTCTGGATATACCACTAACTGTACTCAAAATAAAAAAAAAATAAAAAAATAAAAAAGTACTAAAATTTTACAAAAAAATTACTAAATTATTAAAATATTACTAATACTTTCCTTCTTAGACTGTACAGACCTGAAACTTGCCTACAGCACTTATTCATTGTTGCTCTTATAGTTGTGTAAATTGCTTCCTTGTCCTCATTTTTAAGTCGCTTTGGATAAAAGCGTCAGCTAAATGACTAAATGTAAATGTAAATTTCATTTACCACATGAGGAGAACAAGATGAGTCGAATTTACAGAAAGAAAATACTCTCATTTTTTATTAGGGATTATTTTATTTTATTAATAATCTTATTTTTTATTAAAACGAGTGATTTAGCAATGCCGTGCCATTAATAAGCCAGCTGCAGAGAAAGAAAGCTACCATCGCGGCAACAGCAGTGATCACTTTTTCCTAAGTTCAGCTGTTCTATTTCACTTGATTATTATGCGTTTAATGTTAAAAAATCAATAATGAATAGGCCGACAAGAGTGTATCCTATGTGTGTGTTTGTGTGCATATTTTATCACTGAAGCCGCTCTATTCAAAAAAAGAAAGTTGCTTCATCTCTCTGGCAATATTTCGGCTCTTAATCAAATGAAAAGTTAATTTAGTCGAGTGAATATAAAAAAATTGCAGAAAAGTAACTGTGATGTGCGGCCACACATCGAATTTGAGCTCTGATCTCATCTCTCTCTCGCTTTCATGCAGACATTGATACAGACGCCACACAAGTCAAATCGCAAAACTGAGGCTGGTACCAGCTGACAGGTAGATTAGCTGAAGCCGTTGCGAAATCTCTCAAAACACAGCACTGAAATTAACAGGCATAAATATCTTTGAGCCAAAAAGTCTATCTGTGGGATATCTGTAAAAACGCAATTAGAGCCAATGTTATTTAGAAGTTGTGTCGCCTAATAATTATATTATTTCTAATAGAATGAAAAGCAAAATAAACAATTAATTGCATTTTTAGTTTGATAAAAAATATACGTAATGTGTTTTAATATTAATAAAAAATATGCTCAGCCTATTTAAGCTTAACGATTTTATACACTGCCAATAGGCAAACCATTCAAAAACTTTTATTTTACATTGTACTAGGTTATAATGTATATTTTACAATAAAAACTAAATGTAGCATGCCTCGCTGTCATTTAAAACATGCAATTCATAACACACCAGAAGGTCTATAGTCTATGCAGTGTAAACTTACAGGGCAATGCTGGTCAATACTGCGCACCACATTATTGAACTCCAATATTTATGAGGGAGATTATGTTGCCAGATATTAACTTGAGAGATTTTGCAAATAAAAAGTATCTTAAAAAGGAAAAACACGCAAATAACAAAACAAATAAAAATGGTCCCGTGGAGTTCAGCACTTGTCATCTTGCCAGTGCATGCTGTGTAGTGTGTAGGCAATTACCGCAAAACTGAAAGTGAAAGCATAATATGTGCGCATTTATAAGCTATTTAAAAGCAAAAGAAAAAAGGAAACCCCACCCCCACGGTGATACCGGTATTACCGGTGTTGACACATGTCGATTAGCCGGTGGGGAAATTTCCTTAGTGTCACAACCCGAACTCATTTCATAATAGGGATGTAACGGTATTAGAATTTCACAGTACGGTAATACCTTGGTATGAATGGAACGGTACAGTATTTATTGAATCATTTACGGGGAAAAAAAAAACAATAAAAATACTCAAAAAAAGTGCCAGAAGTGTTTATTAAATAGTTTAGCTGAGCACTGAACATATCAATGGCATACAAATTAGCCATCTATCTGTAAACTTTGAAACAGGAACTTAGTATTGTTGATTAGTATTGTTGTATTTGAGAACACTAACTTCATTCACTGACACACTCACTCATTCAGACAGAGAGAGATTTTTTAAGGAAAATTGGCATATGATGATAATCTGGCAAAAGCTGGGATCTCTGGGAATTTACAATGTCCCCTGCAAAAGAAAAAAAC